ATCAAAATTTTTTTAGAACTTTTTTGAATTAAGCTCAAATTTAGATCTATAAAAAGTAGTAGCTCTTCTATATTAATTTTTTAATAGGTGTTTTTTCTGATCATTAGAAATCGGAAATTAGTTTCAAATAAAATCAAATGTTATATATAACCTATAACACCATTTGTTTTTTTTTAATTGTATACACTTTAATTCCTGTTTAAAAAGCCCAAGCAGAGCTTAGTGTTATTTTTCGTTGTAGAATATGCAGTTGCAATTTTTTTCAGTATTAAAAAACCCCTGTATGTATATGTTAGTTCAGATCTATAAAATTACTAAAATTATATTCCAAATGAATAAGCTCTCTAAGTCAATAGTTGAGTACATTTGAAGCTTTTTTTACCTTAATTTCTGACTTTTTTTTTCGAAACAAATTCTAGAAAATTTAATACTACGTATTTGTAATTACTGAAAACTTATCAGGTCAATTTAGTGCTTCACTCGTGTTGACTTTGTTTTCCCCGACAACATGGACATCACTGTTTTAATTTTTTTAATCAAAAATAAAATAAAAGTTTTTATTAATTAAAATTTTATTTCGGATATAGACTTAGTTTCAGATTTAGAAAACAAGTAATTATATACAATTTGCATCTTGTTTCAAATGTGTAACAAATACAAAGTTGTTTCTAAATTTTAATTAATTTTTGAAGTTAATAGCCGACTATAATACGTATTATAAAAAATTGAAACATTTTGAAAAATCTTTGTTTTTTCAATTTTAAAAAACAAACCGGACACTTTTTAAATTTTTTGTAAATTTTTAGTTAATTCTGTTTTATAATTACGAAACGAAGTATAAAATGCGAGTCATTTAGTATTATGATCTAAAACAACATAAAAACAACAATTTTTTTTTATTATTTTATAAAAGTTATGCTTAATTTGAAATCTATAAGAACCAAAAATTTGCAAGTCAAAACTCTAGTCCCGTTTCTCACTCTTTCCTAGACTTCATTTCAGATCTAGAAAAACAAACCAAAAAATCCAAATTGAAAATTAAATAAAAATATTTTATACAGGTGCGCCAGAACTCGCGCCCCAAAAAAAAATTTCAAGTAAGATAAGAAGGAAAAAATGTTTAAAAAATTCTGTCTGACAAAAATTTTTTGACATTTAACATTTTTTTATGTCTATTAAATGATACTAATGATTTTGTATGTTTTTTCATAATTATTTAGTAAAGGTACAAAAATTTTGCCAATAAAAGCCAAAAATAACATTAAACAGAGTTACAATTTAGGATACAACTTTCTTGTTTCCTCTTTTAATAGCCTGTAGCAAAAAAAACTTGGAAAACTATTTTTTCAACAAAAATAGAGTCAAAGTGTAAAATTTAAACTCACATAATTTCGAAATTTTTATAGATAAAATTTTTTTCACTTTTTTCCAAGTTCCTGGTAAGATACCTTATATGGCATTTTTCTCTGGAGCGCGAGTTTTGGCGCACCCTGTATTTTATTTTTTATTTTATATTTTTGGTTATGAAAACTTGGTTTCAACTTTATAAAAAATTGTTAATTTTAAATTAATTTTTGTTTCATAATTTTGAAACAAAGTTTAGAATAGTTGTGACTAATTTAGTAAACTTTTTTAAAWAGAAAATAAAATAAACTACACAATTTTTTTTCTCTTTAGAATTAAGCAATAAGAAGAAAAAATTTTCAAATTGAAATAACAACTTGTCCAATTTCACTTTTAGTAGATTTCTTCTCAGGTCCTGAAGAACATAAAAACCTTATTTGTAGGTTTTTTAGATTATGTATTACATTTTTCAATTTTTTCACTGTAAAATTTTAATTACTTAAAAAATTACACAACTGAAATTTTTCAGTTGTGTGAACTTAAATTTATAAATCCCACATCTTTGTTGTTTTGACCAGACTATTTTATAAAGTTTTTGAATTTTTTCATAATTCTATTTCATAATTTTGAAACGAAGTATAAAATGCGAGTTATTTAGTATTTTGATATAAAACAACATAAAAACAAATTTTTCATTCTTTATTATTTTATTAAAGTTATGCTTAATTTCAAATCTATAAGAGCAAAAAATTGTAAATCAAAACTCTAGTCCAGTTTCTCACGCATCCCTAGACTTCGTTTCTGATCTAGAAGAACGTAAAATCCAAATTTGTAGATTTCTTAGAATGTGTGTTTCATAATTTTAATGTTTGTGTAAACTTTTCAGAAATTTAAGCCAAATATTTTAGATTATCAAAAAAATATTTACCTTGTTTTGAAGATTATGATCGGTGATGTTTGAAGCATAGGCCCATTCTGCCAACGCAAGCCTATTATTGCCTTCTTCGTCCTTCCTGTTCAAATATTGCAGAAAATCGCGTGCTCGCAACTCTTCATCTTCAATTTCGGGATCAGTTGCGGCGCCCCAATGGCCCAAGAGCGCCAAAACCAGCACCAAGATTTTCCCCATTGAAGACCTATCAAAATTGACTATAATCACAAAACCGTCATGACCTTCTCCGCGCAAAATTATCTCAAATAACGTAAATAGATCTCAAGGTTTTGCAAGTTTTTGGGAAAAACTCACCGTTTTGGCTCGTGTCTTCAGCTGCACAATCACTGTTATTGTGGCAAACTTCTCTTTTATCGTAAATCTGGTGTTCAGCAAGCCCCGAGACCGGTTAGATGGCCAACGACCGCTACCGAACAACAAACTAATCACATTTCACTCTTTGCATCGACGTTTCATAATTTGAGCAAAATTGAGGCTAGCAAAACGAAGGACAAAGAAGAAACGCAGTTTCGCTGGGAAAATGGGATTTTTGCTACAGTGTGAATTGGTTTCGCCTTGAATTAGTTTCGTTCGATTTGGGGCCAGTTTCGGAAATATTCCAACAAAACAAATCGGGGTTCTTTGACCAGAACGGGCCAGGCCAAGGTCGCAATGACGAGATTTAGCACCGAATAAATTAAATAAGACACCAGAAATTTGGCAGAAAACGGTAGAAAACTTTTTTTGCATAAAATTCCCGCTTGGAAACAAGGAATTAAGTAATTTTGCCCTGTGGTTGTGATTTTATGGGATATGAGGTGTTAAAAAATAAATAGTTTCTCAGATTATTGCTCGTAAAATGTTTACTTCTTATTTTTTTAACAATAAATAAAACGTAAGACACAAATGTTAAATAGTTGAACATGTTATTAATTATTTATCGTCTACAGAGTAATTATTATCGTGGTGCTAATTACAAAACAAGTTTAGAAAACATTGGATATAACTAAATTACTATACTGGGTGATTCAATTAAAAGAAAAACGAACAAATCCTAAAATAATTTTTTTGCAAACATGACAGAATAACGTTTGAAACTATTTTTTTTTAAACTGGGTGATATCTCGAAAACTATGAGTCCTAGGTCTAAAGGGTTTGTATAAGAGTTTTCTCTTGTTAATTTTACATTTAGTACTAGTTTTTTATAACAATCAAAAATTTTTAATTCTTTGGTCAGAATCGGATATGATTCTAGCTTTACTACTAAGTTTATTACTCAATATCTCAAAAACTATGCATCGTAGAGTATTTTAACTTATTGCATCGTATTTAGCCCGTAATTTTACGTCTAGAAAATCATATTTTAAGCATTTTTGCAATTTAAGGTAAATTGACTATTTTTACGATTTTACTACCTTCGAAAACTCAAAAAATTCGTAATTTTTCAAACTTGACCCAATAACGTTTTATGCCTTTTAAGACCTCTAAAAATGTAAAAAATGTTATATGAATCAATTTTAAAGTTGAAATTTTTTTGGTTTTTGTCGAGATTTTGGTCGATTTTTGGCACCCGGAGCGGTCTATTGCCAATAACTCCGGACTTATTGGTGATAACCTCTTATGTTTGGTACCGTTGAAAAGAAAATTTAATTTTCTATCATATAGAAAAAAGGTAGGTGCTCTACAATAAACAGTTATCGAGAAAAATTCTGATAAAGTCAAAAATATCAAAAATTTAAATTCAATTATTAAAACTTCAAAACTATTATGAATTTTGCAGTTTTCTTGACGCCAATCGATTTCCCGAAACATTTTACATATATTTACGTCAAAATATTATATCACTGAGATACAGTTTTGCTGCAATTTACAAAATAAAAAAAGTAAAAATTTGTTAACACCTCCTCCTTAAAAAATAGTGTTTTTTAACATACAGGCTGCGCCAGAACTCGCGCCCTAATGAAAAATACCAGGAACATAGAAGAAATGTTAAAAAAATTTTATCTATAAAAATTTCGATGTTATGAGGGTTTAAATTTTGCACTTTGACTCTATTTATTTCTGGTAGAAAAATAATTTTTCAAGTTTTTTTGCTACAGGCTATTAGAAGAGGAGACAAGGAAGAAGTATCCTATAAAATTGTAATTCTGTTTAATGTTATTTGTGGCTTTTCTTGGCAAAATTTTTGTACCTTTACTAAATAATTATAAAAAAAACATATACAAGATCATCAGTATCATTTAATAGACATAAAAAAATGTCAAATGTCAAAAAATAAATTTCAAATTTTTTGACACATACTTTTTTAAACATTTTTTTCATATTCTCAAGCATTTTGCATTATCTCTACTAGTTCCGCCATAATCGACGTTTAAAAATTGTTTTTTTTTGCAAGATATTGACTTGGCTTCAGCTTCAAAATCGATAGATTTCTTTACTTTAATTGCAATGGTGTTGAGCTTTTTGCTCTAAGTCATCGTTCAAAAAGTAAAAATTTTCAAAATTTTGAATTACATGCGTTTTCCTACGAAACTATAAGAGAAAAAAGCAAAAAACCATTACAATTCACTTTAAATTATCTATCTAATGACGTAAACCGGAAGTCGCTCCGGATTATGGTTCCGGGCACAGAGCTATTTTTTTTTTTTTGATAAAAAGTCATAATTCAAAAACTAGGAGTGCTAGGTCAAAATGGTTTGTACAAGCGTATTCTCCGGTTAATTTTACATATAGTACTAGTTTTTTTTATAAAAATCTTTTTTTTTTATTTTTTTGGTCAGAATCGGATATAGGTATTGCTTATGCTTCTAGCCTTATTCTTAACTTTATTACTCAAAATTTGAAAACACTGGAAGAAAGATCTAAACTGTCTCTTTCAAACGCCAAAAAAACAAATTCAAAATTTTAAAAAATAGTAGAGTTACCGAGTTTTAAAGTGAAAGTTTCAGATCCAAATTTTTTTGAAAAACTCCAAATATTTCAAAAAGGGCTAAATTTAGGTATAAGGAAAGCTGATGAAAACTTCCTTAAAATAACCCGATTAATCCAAAAACGCAGTAAAAATATAGCTTTCCATTTAAAATAAGAAAGTTGAGACCGACTTCCGGTATAACCGGAAGTGCCGCCATCTTGAAAATATTTTCATTTAGGAAGACTTAATGCATTATGGCTATGTACCAATTTTCAAACAAATATGATTATTTGAACTCCCAATATTTTTAATGTGGGGTTTAGACGGAACAGCCTGTATAGATCAATTTTGAAATTGAAAAATTTCTTGGTTTTTGGTCGAGATTTTGGTCGATTTTTGGTACCTACCAGTACAAAACCAATTTGTTTCGTTTTAGGTCATAACTGAAAAATCATAACTTTCAGATTAAAATAGTTTTTACATACAAATTTTGGATTAATGCTACATGTAGCATAATTTTTTTATAATTGGAAAAAAAAAATTTTTCGATTTTTTTAAATTTTTACACATGATCAGCCAATAACTCTAGAACAAAAGTTGCTAACCTCTTATATTTAGCACCAGTGGAAAGCACACTAAACTCCCTATCTTACAAAAAAACTTAACTCTTCTACGAAGTAATTATCGAGAAAATCAACAAAAATTGTATTAGGTGTAGGAAACCGACACCATTAATTGGCAAAGTTTTACTAAAATCGATTAGTTTGAATTTTTGACAGTCCTGTCAAGTACAAAACTTCGCAATGGCGGGGCCAACCCTCCAAGCCCTCAAAATCTACTGGAAGAGTCTTTTCATGATACTCTACCCCATTGCCCTCCTTCCAGTTTTCATCAGCAACAACATCGCTGAAATGCGGTGTCTCTACGTGGTGTGTCTCATGGCTGGTTTCTGGGTCTTCGAGATTCTTCCCTCTGGAGTCACTGGTCTCTTCCCTATCATATTCTTCCCCATCATGGGCATCCTGGATACTCGGACCACGACCATGAGCTACTTCAAGGAGTCCAACATGATGTTCATCGGCGGGTTGATTATTGCTCTTGCCATAGAATACTGTAATCTGCATACACGAATTTCGCTACGTGCCATCAAAATGGTAAAAAAATTGTCTATTACATCACAAGGTCGAGAAGGGATTTTTTAAAGCCGAGTTATTTATTACCCGAGATGCGTAGCATCGAGGGAATTAATAAATGCAAGGCTGTATAAGTCTTTTTTAACGTGTTTTATATAACATTTTTTTCGCCACTAGCACAACCATTATTTTTGTTAATTTATTATAACTTCTTTACTCTTTGATAAGGATAACAAAAATTTTGACAAAAGTTTAGATCGGTTGCAGTTATCGTCGATTGCATTTCGGATTGGTCACTTTGACCATGTTGGTCTCTATGTGGATTTCAAATACAGCAGCTACTGCGATGATGTTGCCCATAATTCAAGCTGTTCTTCAAGAACTAGAAGCTCAAGGTTTGGGTAAAATGTATGAAGGGGAACTTGATGAAGAAGGCCAACTTGATGAGTCTACTAAAAGGCCGACAAGGGTCACTATGTGTTTTTATATTGGAACGGCGTACGCTGCCACTATTGGAGGATTGGGGTAAAAAAACAACAACCATCCAAAAACAGCTTAAAATAGTTCGACAGCTTAACAAATACTTGTCCTAGAGTATTTTAACCTGATTTGAAGTCTTTTTAATACTTCCATGTTATAACTTGGACGCACTAGAATCATTTAATTACAAGTTGTTTAGGTAAAATATCCAATAAACCTCTTTTTAATAATACAAGTTTTAAAACTCAAAACTCAAAAGTTGGGCAAAATTTAAATTAGATTAAATGTTTTGTGACCATTTTAGAATAAAACATTATTAATTTATTTAGATATTTAGCATAAAATATTGAAACACCAAGAACAAGAAAAAATTGTTACGTAAAAATATTCGCTGAAGGTATTTTTTGAGAAAAAAAATTTGACTGAAATGTCACAACACTGCAATTTTTACTTTTTGAACTGAGTTTTTTGATGTTGTGTAATCAGTTCAAAATTTTTTTTAATTATTTGGCTAAAAATTATAAGAAAACGAAATAAAAAAAATTCACGTGAAATAATCCATTGAACGTATTTATTAACGACAAAAGTTTGTTCTAATGTCAAAATTAATTAAAATTAGACAAAACTTGACTATTTTTAGCCACTTTTCACGTTTCGCAATCAAGTGAAAGTGTTCAAGGAACGCCAAAAAAATCAATACAAATATCACAATTAACAAAATTTGAATTAAATTAAAAACTTTCAATATTTTTGTGACTATTTCACCTTAATACTCTTAATTTAGATAAATATTTAGCTAAAAATGACGTCAAAGAGAAAAAATTGTTATTATACTTGAAAACGTAATTTTTTGCGTTTTGAAAACAGTTTTTAGATGTTGTGTAATCATTTCAAAGTAAAATTGTAAAGTAATGTTTTGGCTAATAATATCGAAAAACTAAATAATATAAAAAAAGCACGCGAAAGTATTGAATGAACGTATTTATTAAAATGTCAAAATTTTAATTTAAATGTCAAAATTGATTAATATTCGACAAAGCTCAAATAATCAAGTTTGCCATGTTTTATAATCATTTTAAAGTAAAATATTAATGATTTATTTCATATTTCAGCCAAAATGTTTGAAACAGTATCAACATTGAATTTACAAGTGAAAGTATTGTACAAACGTCAAAATTGAAAAAAAAAATGAAAAAACTTAAATTTTAATATACAGGGTGCGCCAGAACATGCGCCCCAGAGAAAATTTTCAAGTAAGGTAAGATATCAGGAACATGAAAAAAATGTTTAAAAAAATCTATCTGTCAAGAAATTTTGACATTTATTTTTTGATATTTGACACTTTTTATATCTATATAAGGATATATATGTTAATGATCTATGTGCTTTTTTACAATTATTTAGTAAAGGGACAAAAGTTTTGCCAATAAAAGCCACAAATAACATTGAACAGAGTTACAATTTAGGATACAGCTTCCTTGTTTCCTCTTTTAATAGCCTATAGCAAAAAAACTTGGAAAATTATTTTTCCAACAGAAATAAATAGAGTCAAAGTGCAAACTTTAAACCCTCATAACTTCGAAATTTTTATAGATAAAATTTTTTTAACATTTTTTCCACGTTCCTGGTATCTTACCTTATATTATATAAATTTTTGTCTGGGGCGCGAGTTCTGGCGCACCCTGTATTTTGGCCGATTTAAACGCTTTATAGTAAAACTTGCTGTGATTTGTATTTATTTTAGAGTAGGTAGAAATTGATAATTTATTTAATTATTATTTGGCTAAAAAATCAAAAACAATAAATTGGCACGTGAACATATCCGGTGAACGTGTTTTTTAAATGTCAAGAAATTGGTACAAAATCGTTAAAAAATGGCCAAAACTTGAATTTTAACGAATATTCGCAAGTTTTTATATTTCGCAATCAAACTTTCTGTGTTTTATAATCAATTAAAAGTAAAAATTAATTCTAGGTGCATTGTGGGCAGTGGTACCAACCTGGTCCTGAAAGGCATCTACGAAACCGAATTTAAAAAAAGCAGTGGCGTTGAATTCAACAAATGGATGGCTGCAAACGTCCCCCTTATGTTGGCAGTAATGTATCCGACATGGGTTTGGATGCAATTCTGGTTCATGGGTTTATGGCGTCCAAATTCAGAAGACGCCAAAGCCATAGATGTGGGAAAAGAAGGCGAAAAAGTCACCAGACAAGTCCTAACCAATAAACTGGCCGAAATGGGTTTTTGTACCATCCATGAAGTTTTGGTAGGGATTTTGTTCGTCATTGCAGCCCTTTTATGGTTTTTGAGACGGCCAGGGTTCATGAAAGGGTGGCCCGAATTAATCACAAAAACAACGGTAAAAATTCAACGGCCACTTTGATCCAAAATTCAACTGTCAATTATAGACGGGTGACGCCACGGCGGCCATGATTGTCGTTATTCTTCTTTTTGTAATCCCCGCCCGCTACGATTGCTCGAGGGAGATTTCACCAAAACTGATCACGTGGCAATACGTCCAGAAGAAAATGCACTGGAGTTTGATTTTTTTGATGGGTGGGGGGTTTGCCATCGCTGATGGGATGAAAGCAAGTGGGCTGGGCGTAATGGTAGCGAATGAGTTGAATGCAGTGACCAATTACCCCAGATTGGTGATAATGGTTGTTGGGTGTTTGATAGGTGCCGTTGTGACGCAATTTACCAGCAATGCTGCTGTAGCCAATATACTTCTTCCGATTGTTGCGAGCCTTGCGCGAGTATTAAATTATATTGTTTGAGAGAATTTGATTGAATTTTTTTTTCAGAAAGCTGAAATTTATCCAATGTATCTGATGATGCCTGTGAATTTGTCGTGTTCATTTGCTTTTTGTCTTCCAGTGGCGACGCCCCCGAATGCCATTGTCTCCATGTCTTGTAATTTGAGGACGACTGAAATGATTAAAGTTGGACTATTTGTTGAAGTTATCGCTTTTGTGATGCTATTGGTGATTTTTCCGAATCTAGGTTCGGTTGTATGGGATTTCAATAGCTTCCCGGATTGGGCACACAAAGAAAACTAAATTTTCAATAAAAATTTTTTTAATGATTTTTGTTTTTTTATTTTAATTTGAATCTCCAGTAGGTACCTAAAGTTTGAGGGGAGTTAGAAAATTCAACCCTTAAAATTTTGAACCTCTCTCGAAAATTATTAGTAGTAAGTAAAAATCAACTATGACAAAAAAGATACACAATAAAAAGTTCCATCGACCGGTAAGGTTTTTTAAAAAAATGAAAACACATTTATACATTTTATATTTTTAAAGTCTACACTCTTTTCTAAGATGTATGAGGGGTCACTTGAGGAGGTTATCTAGTTATATAGTTTGAAAAACTCGCCCTTAAATGTCAATTTTTGTATCTCGCTTACGAAACAAAAAACATCTATTTTATTTTAAATTTTCAAAATCTACACTTTTTTCAAGGATGTATGAGGGGTCACTTGAAAAGGTTGCCTTTAGTTTGAAAAACTCACGCTTAAACGTCAATTTTTGTGTCTCGCTTACAAAACAAAAAACAGCTATTTTATTTTCTATTTTTGAACTGCATTTTTTTAAAGATCACTAAATCTTCAGTTTAAAAACCCACCTTCAAACGTCAATTCTTGCATTTCGCTTATGAAACAGAAAACACATAGGTATTTTATTTTATATTTTTAAAATCTACACTTTTTTCTAAGGTGTATGAGGGGTCATTTTAAAATCTACACTTTTTTCTAAGGTGTATGAGGGGTGACTCGGAGGGGTTACCTTTAGATTGACAAACCCACGCCAATTTTTATATTTTGCTTATAAAACAAAAATTACCTATTTTATTTTATATATTTAAAATCTGCACTTTTCTCTAAGATGTATGAGGGGTCACAAGAAAGGGTTAATTTTATTAAAAAAAACTCACCCCTAAACGCCAATTTTAGTATCTTGCTTACAAAACAAAAAAACACCTATTTTATTTTCTATATTTAAAATCTTCACTTTTTCTAAGATATATGAGAGGTCATTTGAAGAAGTTATCTTTAGTTTGAAAAATAAATGTAAAAATATAGGTAGGTCAAATTTCAGGCGATTACAATAATTTCCTTATAGGATAAGGAAAGTAAAAATAAATTAGAGTAGGCGTCGATTAAATTCCACAGTTGGCAACACATTGGCTGGGAATCTGGGCTAGAAATTTTCCACACAAACTAAAAGTGAAAAAACCATTCATCGTTTTCGTCTTGTACAGCATTTATATAAATAAAGTGAACATTATTTCAATCAAAATTAATAATAATAAAAAGCAAACTTGTCAAAGTTTCCGCTGACATTTGATGTCAAAAATCAGGATTGCCATCTGAAGGACTTTTTTTTGATAGCTCGGTATATATTTTAAATGTTATTAAGACAATCTAATGTGCGAAATTCACTGTGACTAACAACACTGACAATTATTTATTAAAAAAACCGAATTATCCTCGATTTCATGTTAATGTGCATCGAAGTAGTCGTTGAAAGAGACACTTTTAAGGTGGCAACCATGCGAAAATTCAAACAATCCAACCTCAATCTCTTTTTTTTTAAATAAATGTGTACCCCAGGTAGCAAAATATAATTAAAACTAACAAGGTAATTACCATAAGGTATCAAACTTTAAGATTTTTGGTAACATTGATGTAATTAAATTTGTTCTGAATGACATTAATGACACTTTTGTGTGAATTCGCCTTTAAATTAAAGATGCATTTAGACTTCTACAACCCACTTAATACACATTAAAATAAAAAAGAGTATTTACCAGAATTGGGAAGTTACTAAAGGTTGCGGAAATCTCAAAATTTTGTCTCACTATAAATTAATCAAACAGGGACGTTTTTAAACTAATTGAAAAAAACACTTACATTTCTTGCACTGTAAACGTGGATTAGATCAAGGGTAATTAATTTCTATGGTAGTTTTTTCATCAAAAGATGTCGCCATTTTCTATTTTGTTTTTTTATTAAACAAAAATTAAATTGGGACAATAAAAACCTACAAAATGCAAACTATTTTGTAAAAATTTTAACTCAATTAAAATAAAAAACAACTTAATAATTATTGTAGATTATAAAATTTTACAGATTTCTTTCTGATTGTGCAATTTTTTAAAAAAATTGTTACTTTGTTTTTAAATAAAATTAAGTAACAAATTAAATAATAGTGTTATTTTAAAACCGGTATTTGTATTAAACTTGGGGAAATATAATTTTTTTAATAAAATTAGTTTAGCGCCCTCTCTTAGTCAATAGCCCAGACTTGCATTTACCCTCCCTGTAACCACCTCCACCGTCACTTGTTTTGTCGCTCCATTCGCCAAAACACAAATGGAGTTGGTAGAGGTGGGAGTGTAAGAAGTCTCATCCTAACCTCCAATGTTCTCGTCAGGTGCGTCGACATTTCGGTAGTGTACAGTGCGCGACTCCTGTGACAATGTTTTCATAAAAAAAATCAAAGTGTCAGGATGAACTCCCGACAGCAACTCCAGCCGTTCCTCAACAACTCCCTGGCCATCCGCCAGGAGATCCAGAGGTTCGAGAGTGTCCATCCGTCGATTTATGCCATTTATGACCTGATTGACTTGATTCCCGACGGTTTGGTGGCCCAACAGATCAGAGATCACGTCGTTTGCATCGAAGGTGAGTCCAGGTAGAGGAGAGGCTTTGTTGGACGCTACAGGTATTTGGACCAAACGCGCCAATAACGGTAAAAATGCCCACAGCGGACACCAAAACCGCACTTTTAGAGCCTTTAACTGCCTCGGGTTGGCAATTGTGGCAAAAAATCAAAACTGACACTTTTTCACAACCCACTGCGTTGTATCAAGTTTGCTATGGCATTGTTTACACTTTTATGATGTGTTTACTTCCAAATCAAGTTAGCTTGGCTTTTTGTTGAAATGTCAAAATTTGGAGTCCAAACTCAATTATTATTAGTCACCCTGTATACCGTTTTCAATAATAACAAAAATAGTGCCAAAACTGTCGAATTTACACAGCCTACCATGTTATTTTATCCTTGTTTACACTTTTATGATGTGTTTGTTTACTTGTAAATCAAGTTAGCGTGGTTATATTCAGTTTATTGGTGGCTTTTGTTACTTGAAATGTCTTCTGTTTGGGGGCCAAGGTTAATTATTATTAGTCACCCTATATGATACATGTGTTTAATAATAACAAAGATAGTGTCAAAAACGTCAAATTGACACAGCCTACAATGTTGTTTATACTTTTATGATGTGTTTATTTGTAAATTACGTTGGTCATAATTTGGGTTTGTGTGTTACTACGTTTGGATTTGTAAAAGTTTGCATAGTTTTGGGAGATTTAAATGGAGGCAAGGTCAAGGTTATGTCAAAATGTGCTTTAAGTTTTTTAATTTTTTATTACTTATTGTTTCATGAAAAGTTGGCTGTGATGAGTTAATTAGTTTAGTAAAATGTGACTTTTATTAAAAAAAAAACAAACAACAGATGAATAACAAGCAAGAAATTGAGATTAAGAAAAATGTTAAGAAAATTAAAATATGTATAAGGACAAGAAAAGTACATAAAAAAATAAATAGAAAACAAGTCGTAATTAAGAAAAATTGCTTTATTACACAGTTGATTTTATAAAAAAATAAGTAAAGTATGGTAGAAAGCTGAAGAAAAAGGTTAAAAGTAAATATGTAAAAAATGAGAAAGTTTTGAAATTAAGTAAAACACGGATTTAATTTGTAATTTACGTGATAATAAATTAAAAATGAAATATGGTTTAATTGTTAAAAACAAAATTTATTGGTTTCTTACTATAGTACAGTGCGATCAAAAAGTTTGTCTATCAAGCAAGCGTAGAAATTTAAAACGTATGTCTGCGGAAGATAAAATGTCACAATGACAAATGAGAAATGTCAAAATATTTTTTATGTAAATTATGACAGGAAACCGTGGTGTACGATTTTTATGAATAAACACCAACAAGATCTCATTTTAATTTGTTTTGAGACGTTTAATAGAATAATTCAATTTATTTAGTTTAATGTTTTAATTTTTATAAAATATTTTTTTGACATCTAGATAACATACGAACTGCCATGCAACATACGTCCTCAACTAGGACGCCTACTTGATAGAAAGACTTTTTGATCGCACTGTATAAACGAATAGTTATTTATTATACAAGACGATAAAGAAATTGTTTATCTACGAGTGAAAAGGTTAAGTTTACGAGTGGACTTTTTTCACAAGTAGATAAACATTCTTTATCGTCGTGTATAAAATTTCGTTTTATTTTGTACTCACCTACCAGAATTTCTTGAATATAAACAGTAGATAAAAATTACTTTATTTCACAAGACGATAAAAGACTACTTTATCTACTGAAATCAGTTGATAAACTATAAACTCATAAACAGTAGATAAAAATTACTTTATTTTACTAGACGATAAAAGACTACTTTACCTACTGAAATTAGTTGATAAAAGCACTCTTTAACATTGAGTACAAAATAAAAGATATTAAAAAAGGAGGTTAAACTATAGTAAAAATACAAAATACAAAATTAAAAGAAAAAAGAAACTTTACTAAAAATACCAAAACAGAACAGAACATTTTTAAAGTAATTATTAAAATATAAATGAAAAAAGATAAGGACAGAAAAATAAAATTGTAAAAATAAAAACTGAAACAAATGAAAAAAATGTATTTTAGCAAATTTTTTTGGAAAATATCTAAATGTGGTAAAAACTGAGGAAAAAAAATTTAAAACTAAATGTGAAAATATAGGGGTGCGCCAGAACTCGCGCCCCAGAGAAAATTTTCAAATAAGGTAAGATACCAGGAACATGAAAAAAATGTTTAAATAATTCTGTCAAAAAATTTTGACATTTATTTTTTGACATTTGTCATTTTTTTTATATCCATTTAAGGATACTGATGATCTTGTATATGTTTTTTTACAATTATTTAGTAAAGAGACAAAAAATTTGCCAATAAAAGTCACAAATAACATTGAACAGAGTTACAATTTAGTTTACAGCTTCCTTGTTTCCTCTTTTAATAGCCTATAGCAAAAAAACTTGGAAAATTATTTTTCCAACAGAAATAAATAGAGTCAAAGTGCAAACTTTAAACCCTCATAACTTCGAAATTTTTATGGATAATTTTTTTTTAACATTTTTTCCATGTTCCTGGTATCTTACCTTATATGGCATTTTTCTCTGGGGAGCGAGTTCTGGCGCACCCTGTATAAATGTCTAANGTCAAAGTGCAAACTTTAAACCCTCATAACTTCGAAATTTTTATGGATAATTTTTTTTTAACATTTTTTCCATGTTCCTGGTATCTTACCTTATATGGCATTTTTCTCTGGGGCGCGAGTTCTGGCGCACCCTGTATAACTTTATCCATTACCAGGTACATAAAAAGAAAATAAAAAACAAACAGGATTTTTTAATTAAGTGAAAAAAAATGGTTATAATAAATTAAGTTTAAAAAAAAGGGGTTTAATTGGAACAAAAATTGACAAAAAGTGACAAAAATTCAAAAACCAAAAATTAGGCAGAATTTAACAATCTCAAAAATGAAAAAAAAAATGAGATTAAGACGCAGGAAGTAGTAATGCAAAAAAAGTAGAAAGGAAAAGAGGAAAAACAAATGCAATGTTGTTGAAAGAAGCTAGAAATGACAAGTTAATAAATAAAATAAATAAAAAAAATCTTGATGTAATTACCAAAGAAATAAAAAAAAAGAGAAAATAACAAAATTTAGAAATGAAATAAAATAAGATTCAAACAAATGTGTTGTTGACAAGAAATAATAATAAAAATAGTTTCTTGTGCTATGTTGAAATAGTGACTAGAATAATTATTGTTATTAGGCAATGCTAGAGGCGACCGAAGAGCTCCGATTCAAATTAATACCTAATAACATAAGAAAACGATAAGTGTCAAATAAATTGTCAAAATATTTAGTTGATTCAATTGCAATTTTAAAAGAGGGGGTAAAGCGTGACTTTATTCCCTGTTGAGAGGAAAAAAGGACACAGAAAGATATTAAGTGAATTCTTAAAATTTTTCAAAGGATTTGCTCAAAATTTCAAATCTTAGATCTGTTGCAAATCAATATTGCAAACACCTGTTTTATGGCGGAAAATATCGTCGAAAGTAAAAGTTTGCACTGTTTGCTATAAAAAATCCATTTACTACTTTCCCACATTACTGTTTCATTTCCTGTGCAAAATTATGAAATGTTTTTCATCGTTTTAATGAAATAATCCACTAAGATATCGACTAGAATTCACAGAACTTTAGTTATCGATCTCAAGGGAGAGATACATTTGAGTCTAGAACCCTCAATATGTTTGAGATTTCCATTTAACAGGTGTTGGAGGGGTTGATACCGATTTTATCAAATCATCACGATTTTATTTGACCTTTGCTACATATTTTCTGATAACAGCCCACATTCCCCTACACGTCGCGACGCTCTCAATCAACTTTATTACTTCTCTAACAATTTTAAAAAGACATTTTTCACCGTAACGACGTCAAAAGATGATTAAATTGTCATTTCATTCACAAATGCTGCCAACCTTGAACTTAAAAAACTAACATAATAAACAGGAAAAGCCTGTAGGATGACAAGACACGCAATAAGCATCAAACTTGAGGATAATACCGACGAATTGAATCGCCGTGTTTTTTTTTTTCAGGTGCGTTTAAGCGATTTCCTAGTTAATTAACATTGTAGAAAACAAGTAAAAACTCTTCGAATGATTTGTTACTAACTGTATTCATTATTTGGGTCACAATGTTGAGATTTAATCCTTTAATTCACTCACACGAGTTTAAACGATCAATAAAACGTGAAGTTTATTGTTTGCTTGTGTTGGTAGTACAACAAACGTGCTTTTGTATATATGTTTGAAACTGTTTTACTCAAATAAACACTAATTTTAGACGAAAAAATTGTACATTGTGTTATTAGGATCAAAAGTGACAGTTTATGTGCCGAACGTAGTGAGGCAAATATCCAGCCAAGTCATATAAACTCATATACACTATTTTATCCGCAAATGTATTTAGAGTAACGGTATAATTACCAAGTAAATGAACAAAATAATCAAGACGCTTTGCAAGTAATGAAATCATAAAAACACATCAGTATCGGAATTTGTATTGAGATTTTCATTTTATTAATTTAACTAGTGCATTTAGTAGGGCAAAATCGAATGCTGATGATCTACAATGTACTTCTCCTGAATTGAAGCAGAGAAAGTGACAATATTGGTTAAAAATATAAAAAATAGAATTTTTACTCTATGGCACTTAGTGACATTTAGTCGTAAAAGTGGTCTCTTTTGTGACGTATTTTTTTTGCGATTTGTGTTTGCTTTATATAGAAACGGAAAACGGCCACCCACTTAAACGCCTTCCCACATAAATAATTCAAAAACTTCACCCACACGTCAATGTCGATCTATATCAAAGCAACGGGTCAGCGATAATTATTATTATTTGTCTAGGAAAGAAATAAAATCGTATTTTTTTGTCTATTATGCAATTATTTATAGCCGAATCCAGACTTTTCGTCGCGCCAACTCTCCCCCAATTCCTGTTTACATCATGTGTTGTTTTATTGGTATTTTTACGACTAAT